GATAACTCGGATTTCTCGATAAGTCGGACAGCCATGCCCAGCCCGTCGTGTCCGACTTATCGAGTTTCACTGTGTATCGAGAATCACTCGTTATAAGACAGTTCTTGTGTGACGGGGATAAACCTATCCTATAGCGATAGCGAAACTTTGTGATGCTATTTTTGTTCTCTAGAGTCATTTGCCTTTTAAGTTTAATACAGTCATATATTACGTGTTTTTAAAACGGCGTGGCGGGCATGAAGCTCCAGTTAATAGGACGAGTATCGGCTCGTCGTCTACCTTAACGTCATTGTTTGATTTAGTGGTAAAACGGAGAATATTATTGATGTTACTGATAACTTTATTATGAGAAATACTTTCGTTATACTCCTCCTCCTCTTCTTCGATATTATTGCCGTTGAGTACTGCTTCAATTATTTCACTATCGCTCGGCATGCTTTCGTTGCATCGTCAATAAAAATAAACTCATTCGCTGGTAACGGCATATACTAACCTACCAAAAGTATACATATATAACAATCAATAAAATGAAATCAATCAACAAATAATCATATTAATATTAATATATTTTAGGTAATAAATTGACAAATTTATACGTTACAGAAACTTTTTGTTAAAGTATCGGACATAATAAATAATAATACGTTTTCTTTTATTTACTTTAAAGCACTACCAGAATATATATGTGGAGATATAAAAAATTTTAAATATAACTTATTGTTTAAATAACTGCCAGTGATACAACTTTTCTCTAAAAAGTGTATAATGTTATGCAAATTTTATTACCATAAATATCTACCCATATATAAAGGTAATTAATAATAATCAAGATTAACATCTTTTGTTTATACACAATTTGCTAAAATGACCAAAGGATCCGAATTTTAACAGACTTTGAGCGTGGTTTATCATTGGTGCTAGTTTTGGCGTTAGTTGGTGAGAGATTAGGTCGTTCCAGAAACGCTGTGCATACTGTTATTGCTAAATATAAAGAAAACAAAGCAACTACAGTTGCAAAATGTAGTGGCAGACCTTGCTTATTAACAGGGCGAGATGAGAGGCATTTCAACGGATTGTAAAAGTGATTGCAAGCGATCATTTTGGCCGATCAAGTGGAACGTCTACTATTACGTGATATGGGCATAATAGAATCCTATTATTGTGTCATATGACTAGGGATCTGCTTGATACTTGGTTCACGATTATCTGAATATTTATTTTTATCTTTCTAAATAACATAATCAAATACATGGCACGACATTCCCGTTCAAGAAGTAGATCTACGTCTCCTCATAGTAAAAGGCGCAGGCATTCACATCGACGTGAGAAGCCTCGCAGTCGTAGTCGCGATCGTGGCAAAGATCTGCCCAGCTCGGAACGATCACAAAACAAAAATGCCGAGAAGAATAATAGCGTTAAAGGAACTTCTCGAAACGGCGAAAAGGCCAGCGAAAAATTAACTGAGAAGAGTAAAGACATTCCTCAAGTAGTTACACCCAACCAGCTGGAACAAGAGGAAAAGATCCGTCTCCGTAGGGAACGGGTTGAACAGTGGAGGCGAGAAAGGGAGGCTGCGAAAAAGGCTGAAGAGGAAACTAAAGCTCAACAACTTGTAACGACATCCGACAATGATGTGAAAAAGGACGAACAAGTTGAATCATCAGCAATGGATTTCGAAATTACAACGAACTCGGACGGTGCATCAGGTATGATTGTGTCGTTATATGCATATACTCTGATCTTGCTATCTACTGTTCTGTCACTAAGTGAAATATGATTGTTCGTGTAGCTGTAAATACGGTGGATACCACAACAATCGTAAAGGAGCCCACAAATGAACAACCTTCCGTGGTAGAACAGCCTCGGAGAAACCCGTTACTGGGTATTGGCAACAAAAAGGCCACTATAAGTTTTAAGGGAAAGTCCACCAAGTTTTCTCTCGCTGAAGATGAGGAAAGAGCTTCTTCAAACCCGTCGCGACAATCCCTTCTCATTAAAGACTCATCAGTCTCAACAAATGCCGATGAAGGCGATGCAGCTAAAGACGACGAGGAAGATCCACTGGACGCATACATGAAGGATGTAGAGTTTGCCGTGGAGCGATTGAATGAGCAAGATAAAAAAAGAGCTAGACAAGCAGAAAAGGGAAAGAAAAAACCCGAGAGATCCGAGACTTTTGAGGAAGAGGAAGAAAATGCTGAGGAAGAAGATATTGCCAGTGAATCAGAGGACATTTTGGCGTGAGTTTTGCCGATTGGACGTGGTTTGCGACAATTGTATTTATTTTTTTTCCCTCGGTCATTATAATTTTTTTTTCTTTTTTTTTTACGGTAGATTTGCTGCAAAGAAACTAAAAAAGAAAGATTTGGCCGTAGTAGATCACAACCAGGTCAAATACGAACCGTTTAGAAAAGACTTTTATATAGAACCTCCGGAAATGCATGATATGACACCAGATCAAGTAGATCTTCTTCGTGTGGAGCTTGATGGAATAAAAATAAGAGTGAGTGGTTAACATTGAATTTTATGATGGAATCTTACAACAAATAAGCATGTCTAATGATATTGACTCATAGGGTATAGACTGTCCAAAACCAATAAACAAATGGACACACGCTGGCTTACCAGCCGCATGGTAGGTTTACAGCCTAGATGCTTGTTCAGCCTAGCATTTAGTGAAACAACTACTAAAATAACCGTCATACAAATAGTCTTCAAGTTATCAAAAAACTAAATTTCGAGAAACCGACTCCAATTCAAGCACAAGCTATACCAGCAATTATGGCAGGGCGAGACGTGATCGGTGTTGCAAAAACCGGCAGTGGTAAAACGGTCGCTTTTCTTCTTCCGATGTTTCGTCATATCAAAGATCAACGACCTCTGGAACCAATGGAGGGCCCTGTAGCAATTATAATGACCCCAACAAGGGAATTAGCAGTACAAATTCATAGAGAATGCAAACATTTTCTTAAGGCTTTGGGATTAAGGGTGAGTCGCTAAGAAGCGCCTTATTATTGTAACATTGAAAATATATGTAGAATACTCATATTCAGATGCTAACAAAAGTTCGGTTTTCTGTGTTAGGCTGTTTGTGCATATGGTGGTTCGCCCATAAAAGATCAAATAGCCGATTTAAAACGTGGTGCTGAAATTATCGTTTGCACACCTGGTCGCATGATCGATTTGCTATGTGCAAATTCTGGACGTGTGACCAATTTGAAGAGAGTCACATATCTGGTGTTGGACGAGGCGGATCGTATGTTTGATATGGGTTTTGAACCGCAAGTTATGAAAATTGTAAATAACGTAAGGCCAGATCGACAGACTGTCCTTTTCTCCGCCACTTTCCCACGTCAGGTAAGTCTTTTTATTTTTAGTTTGACAAAGTTGAAGTGACGAAACTAAGCTGATAACTATTCAGATGGAGTCGTTGGCCCGAAAAGTTCTAAAACGACCGCTTGAAATCACGGTAGGCGGCAGGAGTGTTGTAGCTCAAGATGTCACGCAATTAATCGAAGTGCGGGAGGATAGCACAAAGTTTGTCCGATTGCTTGAAATATTAGGACAGCAATATAACGATGACCCTGAGGCGCGAACTCTTATATTTGTTGACCGGCAAGAGGCTGCTGATAACCTTTTGAGAGATCTGATCCGTAAGGGTTATCCTTGTATGTCGCTTCATGGAGGAAAGGTAAAGTTATTTTGTTTTTTTGGAGAATTTTGTTTTGCCATGTGATTTCTACTCATACTGGTTTGAACGTATAGGATCAATTAGATCGCGATAGCACAATAGCCGATTTCAAATCTGGTGTATGCCAGATCCTAATTGCAACATCAGTAGCAGCCCGTGGCCTTGATGTAAAACAATTAAAGTTAGTTATCAATTACGAGTGCCCTAATCATATGGAAGATTATGTCCATCGCGTCGGAAGGACAGGGCGTGCCGGAAATAAAGGTACTGCGTACACGTTTATTACTCCCGAACAAGATCGTTATGCTATGGATATTGTAAAGGCTCTCAAGTTAAGCGGTGGCCATGTTAGTCCCGAGTTACAACAGCTTGCTGATGGTACGTAATTCCTTATCATCAAAAAAGACTTTGGCTCATATGTTTGACGATAGATATCTTTGTTTGTAGAATTTCAGGAGAAGGTAAAGGCAGGAAACGCCACTTACTCTGGCTCTGGATTTGGTGGTAAAGGTTTGGAGCGATTAGATGAAGCGCGTGACCTTGTCAAGAAGGCTCAGCGTAAGGTTGGTTGAACGTCAAAGAGATTGTTATCATAAATCAATGTACATTCGATTTACGTTGTCGATTACTCCACAGACATATGGTGATGCCGACGATCAATCATCTGACGAAGATATAACAGAAGATGATCATACGATCGTATCTAAACGAGAGGAACCTGCAACCATTGGTGGAGCAACAACCGCCAGTGCTGCAGCACAGGCAGCCTTGCCAGCAAACGGCAGTTCAACGGAGATAACTTCTGTAGCTCAAGCTGGTAAGAATTTGTCATTTAACATTCTGTTTATTGCAATATGTCTCAAATTAACATTGTTCTTGCCTCCACAGCACTTAAGGCTGCTCAAGAAGCTGCTGCTCGCATTAACGCGGCAGTTGGAGCAAGCGGGGTACAAAGAGCCAAAGATATTATCGCTGATATTAATTCACGATTCAAAGAAAATTCTGTGCAAGGTAACGGTTCAGAGGATAATAGAACCGAAAACGTTGCCGAGTATTCTGTCGAAATCGAGATAAATGACTATCCTCAGAAGGCAAGGTGGAAAGTTACAAATAAGGTATGTGATATGACCATTAGTGCAATCCTTTCGTGCAATGTGTATTAACAAGGGCTATAATTTGACAGGAACAAATTTCACAAATTACTGAGCTCACTGGTGCAGCTATTACCACACGTGGCACATACTTTCCTCCTGGCCGCCATCCAGCGCCCGGTTCTGGTGAACGGAAACTCTACTTGTTCGTTGAGGGTGAGAACGAGTATGTCGTTGAGAAAGCTAAAAATGAAATCAAACGAATATTGACGGAGACGACGCTCAGTGCAATTGAAGCCGAAGCCCGAAATCCAGGAAGTACTTCATTGGGTGGATATGGCAAGTATACGGTTGTTTAACGCGAATAGATTGTATTATCTGTCTTTATTTTCCCTATGCCTCTCTTCTCGTTTTTTTTTCTTCTCCATTCTTCAATCTTTGCAAAGTGACAATAGACGATGTTAGTGTTACGTTCACGAAGAAAATATTTATACAATAAATGAAGGTGGTTCATCTTTTTACTTCTGTTTGCTTTTTGTATTACCATTCGGTTGACGTTTTTGCCTTTGCCTTTGTCTCATTCGCGCTCCGGACTCCATATATGATGGTCTGTGAGTGGTCAGAGTGGGTGAGTCAGTGGTGTGAGATGCCCATTGCCATTGCGCGCATTTACTTTGAGCCTACTAACGGATAGCTTTTTAAGCATCAAGCGTTATTCGGTCTTCTTTAGGGATGATGGACCAACTTGATTTCCAAGTAAAAGGAAGTAGGTAGACTTCCCTCTAAACGAAGAGTATTGTGTGTCTTTGTCTCTGGCTAGTCAAGAACAAGTCTGTCCGTATTAATATTCATGATACTATACAGTTGCCTAATATTTGGCAGCAATACACTGACCAGAGTCTCTTGCATAGCAGATGAGTCAGCGATGCATCGATTATTGAAGAAGTCTAATGTATGAGATGAAATTGGTACGTTTATGCCTGAATCTCCAACAATGATTCGTACAATTTTCTTACTACTTAGATTACCAGGTATAGCAATAAAGATAAAAAAATTAGTTGTGGATGTACTAACTAATCGAGTCACAATATGATTATAACGCCAATGTTTGCCCCGATCTAACAGTACCCGTGTACTAGCTATCATCTGAGTGTATGCTGTTTAAACCTCTAATCATGTAAGATCGACTGGCGTTCTTCTATATTACAGCAACATCGATTAGCAACTGTTTGAAGGAGGAACGGTGACAGCAGTTTGACAGTCAATTTCGGGGAATTGGTGATGTTGATCTGTGAGTATCTGTTATCGAGCAATGAACGAAGGGAATTTAAAAAAAAACTACCCCCAACTTTTTTTACTGTGTTGAATTCTCATAATAATATTAAATATGATGATATATAATTAGAGAAACTTGAAATAATATTAGTGTTTATTCATCAGGAATTTCAATTTCCCCATTTTCAACCATCTCGCTAACGCTAAGTGGAGTTTGGCTACAAAATATAAAAAATCACGTTAGACATTCTCTCCCATCAGCACCGACAAACTGACTTCATACTCTAAAGCCGACTCACCCATCTACAGTACACCCGACGCTGTTACAAGTCCCTAGAATTTCTTTGACAGTTCCTTTAAGCTGACGAGCGTACGATTTGAATCGTATAGTGCGTGCGATTTCTATGACTTCTTCCATAGTTAAATTACCAGAATGTTTAATATTCTTTTCTTTCTTTCTATCTCGTGGAGGCTCTTTGAGAGCTCTGATAACTAGGGATGAGGCGGTGGGGACTACTTCGATAGCCGCTTGACGATTTTGAATCGTCAGTTTCACCGTTACTCGAAGACCCTTCCAGTCAGTCGTGGCTTTGGCAATGTCTTCACCTACTTTTTTTGGTGCCTAAGAGGTGTCAGAATAAGACAGAGAGACAAGATGAAGTTGCGAGAATAGAGCAGTAATGAAATGCTAATGTCTATTCAATTCGATTCCGGTATTTCGTAGCTAGGGCTCGAATTCCCTCCCCCCAAATTTTTAGCACTCTACGCGCGAACATACCAAACCAAGAGGACCGATTTTGGGAGCAAGAGTAGCAGCGGCACCTACTTCACCGCCCGTTGCTCTAAGATAGATGACCTATGGGTTTGATAATAATCAAATTAGCGCTTTTTGTTTTATTCCGATCAAATCATTAATGATTACTTTATCTGTACTCAACTTTAACTTCGCTTGGGTCTATATACAATCAAGTATACCCATAGTTTCGTTCAAACAGTCAGTAATAGAATTGACGAACTTTTTACGCTTCCATTGTATAAAGAACATGTTACCAGACAAACTCACCGATTTTCGGTGGCATTATTCAAATATATAATCAATCCACTGGCACAATTTGGCGAGGAAGAGCAAACAGAAAAATTTTCCTCTTTAAATGGGGACACTGCGCCAATTATCGCCACAAAAATATTTTCAAGCCACAAAAAACTAAAATTAGAAATACCGCCACAGATTCAGTTCCTCGCGATAGTTGATATTAATTGATGTCTTATATTTAATAATGAGTTGATAAAATTTCTGCGTCGTTTGAGCCATGTTTTAAAAGCCGTTTCTAACACACGCCCACCTAATTCTTCAACTATGGAGATCCATTCTTCATCATAGTGAATCCTTAAATTATCAACACTGTTGAGACCAGAGTATTGATGCATGCATGGGACCTATTTATATTATACAAACCCATTAGTGCTTCCTAATATTCACACTGCTGATTGTATTACCACTTTTGATAATATAAACTCCCTGAATCTCGTTTTGTCACAACTTCCCTCCATAAAATCGACAGCAACAATAAACAAGCGAACTTTCTAATATACACCAATAACAGTTTTCTGTCATCTTCCGATCATTTCTCAGAGCCTCATAACATAGTAATATACGAAAAAGAGTTAGAGTTTATGAAAAAAAGAACAGCGACATTTCTTCTGAAACTTTTTATTGAGGTGCATAGTAATCGTGGTAAGACAGTAATTGATACATCAGGTAGGTATAACCAACCAAAATATAAGCTTTCATCATTGGAAACTGTCGAGGCAATAGTTACGGGAGAGCGGATAACTACTGTCTCGGTTTGGGATTTAGCGGCGCCGTCGTAGGAGTGTGGCGATAGCTAAATCGTAACAAACAGTTAGTGACCTTTTAATTTAGGCTTTTCGGTGCTGACGTATTCTTATACGGAT